ACATGTTATTTTTATATGTTACAGTGAATAAAAAAGGAGGTTCATTCCGCTGTGGCGACCTCTGAAATAGAGACTAAGCCAAAGGAAAATGAATGATTAAAATAAAAAGAAAATGAATAATACGGTTATGACTTTTGATTTTAATGTTTTATTAGACATTAACATTAACATAAATTGACATCAACTAAGATTAATAAATGTATTTTGTAGTTGACATTATATTGACTGTAGTTAAATTGACTGATGTCAATAAATGGAACTTTACTGTACAGTTAACGAACAAAAGGCCAGAAAATTTAATTACCCCTATCAATATTGTGCATATTGAAATGTATTGCATTATTCAGCATGTCTACTTATGCATTTATAAAACATTTATGCATTAACATATTAACAATTAACTGGTCAAAACACACTAATACTCACAAATATTGGTTTCTAACCTTTTTTAGGAGACCCCTATATTAACATTCAGAGCCTCTATGCCTGATAAACAAAACCCTATGCACAGTTGTATGCAAAACATGTGCATTTTCAATATATATTTGCTATAATGCCTAAATCTAACCTAATCTTAAACCAATGGTCTAAATAAAAACTGCAGACAAAGCATAACTTTTGTTAACTTTGCTTAATGATGGACAGGAAATGTTACTGTAAAAGGTGTTTTGTTCTTACTGCGACTGATTACTCTTTTAATCATTATTAAAGATACTTCCTGCTTCCTACTTCCTTGTTTGATGACCCCCACATAAATCTTTGGTGACCCCTAGTGGAGGTCACGACCACGGAGTTAAAACTAACCCTTTAAAATTCCACACCTAAAGCACGTGAATGCTAGCTCTAAACACTAAATAATTAAAGCAAAAGATCTGTTGAGTGGCAGTGTTTAAAATGGAAAACTTTATATTAGAAGTGTTTCAGGCTCTTTTGTATTAATGTTACCTTGTGAAAAATTACCAATGGTGCTTTTGCAATTGGAAGTTTCTCTTTCTCTTTTGTCCATTTTCCCTTCTGCTGGTTTTATTTGAGCTAGAAAGTTCATACTCTGTAAACTGTAATAAGTTGACCACACTTGGAAAAATTAAAGAAACATATTGCCTTAACATTTTCTAAGTAGTTTATTAATTTTAAGTGAGCATAACTTAAAACTGGGCTGCATGGTGGCTTATTGGTTAGCACTGTCACTTCACAGCAAGAAGGTCACTGGTTCAAGTCCTGGCTGGGTCAGTTGGCATTTCTGTGTGGAGTTTGCATGTTCTTCCAGTGTTGATGTGGGTTTCCTCGGGGTGCTCCGATTTCCTCGATAGTACAAAGACATGTGGTATAGGGGAATTTAATAAGTTGGCCGTAGTGTATGTGTGTGAATGAGAGTGTATGGATGTTTCCCAGTGCTGGGTTGCAGCTGGAAGGGCATCCGCTGTGTAAAACATATGCTGGATAAGTTGGTGGTTCATTCTGCTGTGGTGACCCCTGATGAATAAAGGGAACAAGCTGACAGCAGTTTGTATTTACTATTTCTTAATAAAGTAAACTTCAGTACCGTTGACTCAGAGTAATTAGTTTCATAAACTACTTATTGGTGTTCACATTACTAGGAAAATATTAGGACACCGAATGCCTTAAATTTATCAAGTAAGCGAAACTAAAACTTTTAGTAAAGACAAAACTCAATACCTACACTTTTAAAACATTTGTATTGTCTAAATATTGTAAACAGGCATCAATCAATTACCTTAATCAGTCTATACATGTCTTTAAACATACAGTTACTTTCTCAGCATGAAATACAATGACCTTGTAAAACATTTAGCATGCGCGTACTGCATTAAAAAAAAAAAAATAAATAAATAAAAAAAAAAGCCAAACAAAGGTACATTCATTCATTCATGCATTCATTCATTTTCTTTTCGGCTTAGTCTCGGCTTACCCACTGCGCCACCGCACTTCCCAAGGTTTAATGCAATAATGATAATAACAACAACAACAATAACAACAATAATAATTATAATAATAGTAATAATAATTAATTATATAATAGTATTTTTATTATTAGAAAAACATTATTTTATTTATTATATTATTTAAATTTTATTATTATATTATTTATTATATAATCATATAAATATTATTAAATTTGTTAACAATAATATATTATAATATATTCACATATTTATACATTTTGAACATCAAAGAATTAAAAAAAGCTCTCAGATTTATTATGCTTATGTCTGATGTTGCTGAGTTTTTAAATTCTTCCACCTGTTTTCTCGGTTCCCTCATCAGCATTCTCTATAAATTTTGACATCATGACCACTCAAAAGTTGTAAATGCATATTGTAAGTCACATCAACAGTCACATCACAGGGTTAAATTATTTATTAAAGATTAAAAGATTAAGATATTATTAAATAGTACTGTTACATTGTAAAAAAAATACATATACAATGATGACCATGTTATTTTATGCTTGATTTTTTAAAAATTGTATTTAAATACTATTATATATGCTCGCCGATGTCTTCCGTGTATACTCAAATAATTTTTTGTGCTTGTTTGAACTACTTATTTAAAATGAGCTGAATCAACACAATTCTTAAGGGTTTTTGGGACCCAGCATTTTTTACAGTGCAGTCCGTCGAGTGATAGTATTTTAATTACAGTTTGCTTTTTTGTAGCTCTGCAATAAAACAAAAGAGGATACGTAAAAAAAATTGTCAAATTAGAAAAATGACGATCTCTGTGTTTAAGGAACACTCTCCACCATTCTCACTCTTCTCTCAGGGGCCAAATCAAAGCTTTCACTGGGTCAACTTTGGGCATTTCTAATTTATCCTAATAAATTAATTGTGTAGCCAGAAGTATGTATGGCTGCGTTTCATCTTTAAAACAAACAATATGAGGCGGTATGACACCGTTCCTTTTGGCACTTACCAGCTTACTGCTTACCGCCATATGGACGGCTTTTTCGCTGTTACCAGTTTGGCTAATTAGTTCGCCATGTATGTTGGTGGACTCGAGACACAGATAGGAGTTGACCACGATGACGGCCTTCGAGTCCAACAAATAACGGTTCCAAAAAGCAGACAAAAACAAAAGCCCAAAAAAATTAAATAAACATGAGCTCAATAAGGTGAGGCAGTGGCGCAGTAGGTAGTGCAGTAGGTAGACGCTGGGTCGCTGGTTCGAACCTCGGCTCAGTTGGCGTTTCTGTGTGGAGTTTGCATGTTCTAGCTGCCTTCGCGTGGGTTTCCTCCGGGTGCTCGGGTTTCCCCCATAGTCCAAACATGCGGTATAGGTGAATTGGGTAGGCTAAATTGTCCGTAGTGTGTGTGTGAATGTGTGTGTGGATGTTTCCCAGAGATGGGTTGCAGCTGGAAGGGCATCCGCTGCGTAAAAACTTGCTGGATAAGTTGGTGGTTCATTCCACTGTGGCGACCCCAGATTCATAAAGGGACTAAGCCGACAAGAAAATGAATGAATGAATGAATGAGCTGAAGAAACACAATTCTCAACAGGTTTTTTTGAGGGGGACAACCTAACTGTTTTAGGTTTAATCAACTTAAATTTGGGAAAACATGAAGGAATTGTGTGTAACCCAGCATTTTTTAAAGTGCAGTCCATCGAGTGATAGTATTTTAATTTGTTTGCCTTTTTGTAGCTCATCAATAGAACAAAAGAGGTTATGTAAAAAAAAGGTTACATCAGATTATAAATGACAATCTCGGTGTTAAAGGCATTCGCCCCAATACTCTCCACCATTCTCACTCTCCTCTCAGATGGGATGGTGGGCCAAATCAAAGCTTACAATGAGCCAACTTTGGCCCGCCGACCCTACTTTGGGCATCTCTAATTTATCCCAATCAATGAATTATGTAGCCAGAGGTACGTATGGCTGCATTTAATTTTTAAAACGCGCTATGAGGCAGTATGACATCGTTCCTTTTCACACTTAGCAGCTTATCGCTTACCTCCTTATGGACGGCTTTTCCACTGTTACCAGTTCGTCTAGTTAGCTCGCCATGTACGTTAGTGGACTTGAGACACAGATAGGAGTTGACCATGATGACTGGGTTCGAGTCCGATAAATAACGGTTCCAAAAAGCAGACAAAAACAAAAGCCAAAAAATGAAATATACATGAGCTGAATCAACACAATTCTTTTTTTTGGGGCAACCTAATTGTTTTATGTTTATTCATTCATTCATTTTCTTGTCGGCTTAGTCCCTTTATTAATCCGGGGTCGCCACAGCAGAATGGACCGCCAACTTATCCAGCACGTTTTTACACAGCGGATGCCCTTCCAGCCGCAACCCATCTCTGGGAAACATCCACACACACATTCACACACACGCTCATACACTACGGACAATTTAGCCTAACCAATTCACCTGTATCGCATGTCTTTGGACTGTTGGGGAAACCGGAGCACCCGGAGGAAACCCACACGTAGGCAGCTAGAACATGCAAACTCCACACAGAAACGCCAACTGAGCCGAGGTTCGAACCAGCGACCCAGTGACCATCTTGCTGTGAGGCGACAGCACTACCTACTGCGCCATTGCCTCGCCGTTTTATGTTTAATCAAACTAAATTTTTTGACAACATGAAGGAATTGTGTGGAACCCAGCATTTTTTACAGTGCAGTTTGTCGAGTGATAGTATTTTAATTACAGTTTGCTTTTTTGTAGCTCAGCAGTAAAACAAAAGAGGATACGTAAAGAAAGGTTACGTCAAATTAGAAATAATGATCTCTGTGTTAAAGGCATTCGCGCAACACTCCACCATTCTCGCTCTCCTCTCAGATGATATGGTGGGTCAAATCAAAGCTTAAAATGGGCCAACTTTGGCCCGCCGACCCTACTTTGGGCATCTCTGATTTATCCCAATCAAATCTAAAATAAATTCTTCCCAAATGTTCAAATTCAAGTCTAAAATTGTGTTGATTCTTTCTTTAAAATAACACCTACTGATTTCCTTTTTTATTTATTTCCAAACAGTTACTTCTCCACCCCAAGCGAAAGAAAAAGGCAGCTCAATTCTTGACTCTACTCTCGATGATGATGACATTGATGAGACGTCACTCTTCCAGGAGATTGACCGAGAGCTGTCGAACCTGTTAAGCGGCCTGACAGCCCGGAGTCAGCATGCAGCGACCGAACAGGGCTCCCTGTCAGGAGACGCCACCGCCTCACCCATGATCCCCTGCAACGGACAAAACCAAACCTTGCCATCACAACTGGAAATGGCCAACCAGGGTCTAGACCTTCAGAACGGCCAGTCTGAGTTAACAGGAGACTCCCTCCTGACGTCTGGGCTGCTGTTTGACTCATGGTGCGAGGCACTCATAAAGGACCCCAGCTCAGTGATGGCGGCCGCAAATGAGCTGAGCTGCTTCAGCACTGGGAATGCACCAGATAAACTTGATGCCAGCCCAACTCCTGCTGGAGCACATGTGGAGCCATCCGGAGAGGTGCTCTCGCAAGAAAACTCCGGAAAGGAAACAGAGGGCAAGAGGACAGGGTCGCCCTCTCCCATCAGAACAGACGAACCTTCGGCAGAAATCGTGGACGAGTCTCTTGAGGAATCCAATAAAATCCTGGCGGAGGTCCCAGGAATCTTTAGCGGCTTTCTGGAAGGGGGCAAACTGCGGGACAAGCCGCCGAAGAAGCTGCGGTTTGTGGAGAGCAGAGCTGAAAGCCTAGTGAATGGAGAGATGCAAAACGGAAGTCATCAGAGCTGCAGTGTGAAAGAGGAAGTGACTCAGGACATACAGAGTACAGCAGCCGCAGGAGTGCCACAGGGGAGCGTGCTGAGACCCGAGCAAAAACCAACAGAAAACGGCACTGACAGGTACTGTATCACTTTTCACTTACTAAAAGCCCCTTACAAAGGAAAGCCAAGACAATTATCGGCATGACAGAATTTTTTGGGGATTTAAATATTTAGTTTTTATGCTTATGAATAATTTGTGTGCATTTAACAGGAAGCAACGGTGTATACAGGTAAAATGAACCGCTATTTTTTTAAAATATACTTACAGTTATGCTGGTTTGTAAATGCATGTCTAGTAACTCTTATTTGTAGAGTATTAGCTTAAGGTAATTAGTTAGTAGAATAAACAGACATGCACTTGCAAAGACATGTATAGCTAGTAGAAAGTCTGTTGTTGGACCAACAAAATAAAGTGTTACTTTGATGTAACTGTTTACTTGTATATATTTTATGTAAACTAGGCATGGGGTGATAACTGTTTTCAAGGTATACAGCGGTTTAGAAAAGTCAAGGTTTTAAAACCGCCACAGTTTTCTGCAATACTGTTCCTATTGTATGTGTAAGATTTTTTTTATTAAGTTTTTTTTAGTTTGTTTTTAAGGACAACAGTGTCAAATGAAAATTTAAAATGTTTCTCAAAATAAAAGATATTGTGTTCAAAGAGGAAAAGTTTTTGTTTTTTATCCAGACATTTAAAAATAATATATTTTAGAGCAGTAACCACAATACTGTGAAACCGTGAAATGGTTTTGACCCAAGGTTATCATACTGTCAGAATCTTATACTGACCCATGCCTAATGTAAACATTTAAAGAATTATTTTTATTTATATAGACATATTTTTAATGCAATTTCAACATTGCACGATTAAATATTTTAAATGCGAAAAATCTGAAATAAAATATTGAAATGTCTCACTTTTTGATTATGAGACAATTTAACATTTGCATAATTAGTAGGTTTTCATGTGTGTTTAAAATTAAATATAGATATTATACATTTAGTGAAAGTTTTGGACAACATGATATAATCTTCAGTGACAAGTAATGTCTCATATGTGTGAATAATGAATCATATATTGAAAAGATTTTGTCTGAAACAGGCACATATTTATGATCCGTGCATGTGTGATCAAAGGGTTAACCAGGTGGACAAAAATTCTTGGCTAGAAATTGCAACAGTCGAGGGAAAGGAGGAAATAATTTGTAAAAGTTTGGAAAAACCTGAGGAATACGTTTTTTAGCCATTCATTTTGAATTGAAAATATTTTAACAGTTACAAAACTATAATTAGGGAATAAGTTATTTACCTATATTTACCATAAGATGCGTGCATAAACCAGGTTTAATGTAAACAGATATAACGGTAACTGAAATATTGAACATAGGCTCATTCTGTAAACGTAGCCCTTTATACATTTCTGGAGATTGCGAATTATGTAGCCAAAAGTACATATGGCTGCATTTTGTCTTTAAAATGACTGCTACAGGCTGGTGACGCCAGAAGGCCGGTGGCACTGTTCCTTTTTGTGCTTACCTGCTGATCACATATCTCTGTATGGACGGGTTTCCCGGGTGTAGAGTATGGGTGGTTGTGTCAACTTGTGCTTTTGAAAACACTATTGGATGGGTTTAGGGAAGGAGAAGGGTGGGTCAGTCGGTCGTTCAGTCAGTCAGTCAGACAGTCCTCGCTGCAGCCTGTAGCTTGTTGTAGTCTGCTACGTAGTTGACGATCACCTACACCTCCCCTTACCCTAAACCCAACTGTCACAGTAGCATGGGCGCTACCTTAGTGGGCGGTACAAGTTCCACTACGTAGTTGACAATCGCTTATACCTCCCCCTACCCTAAACCAAACTTTCAAGGTAGCATAGGTGCTACCTTAGTGGGTGGTACAAGGTCCACTACATAGTTGACAATCCCCTACACCTCCCCCTACCCTAAACCCAACTGTCACAGCAGCATCGGCGCTACCTTAGTGGGCGGTACAAGGTCTACTACGTAGTTGACAATCGCCTGTACCTCCCCCTACCCTAAACCAAACTGTCAAGGTAGCATAGGCACCACCTTAGTGGGTGGTACAAGATCCACTACGTAGTTGACAATTGCCTACACCTCCCCCTTCCCTAAACGAAACTGTCACAGCAGCATGGGTGCTACCTTAGTGAGCGGTACAAGGTCCACTATGTAGTTGACAATCGCCTACACCTCCCCCTTTCCTAAACCCAACTGTCACAGTAGCATGGGCGCTACCTTAGTAGGCAGAACAAGGTCCACTACATAGTTGACAATTGCCCTCACCTCACCTCCCACTATCCCAAACCCAATCATCACAGTAGCATGGGCGCTACCTTAGTGGGCGGTACAAGGTCCACTACGTAGTTGACAATCGCTTATACCTCCCCCTACTCTAAACCCAACTGTTACAGTAGCATGGGTGCTACTTTAGTGGGCGGTACAAGGTCCACTACGTAGTTGACAATCTCCTATATCTCCCCGTACCCTAAACCCAGCCATCACAGTAGCATGGGCGCTACCTTAGTCGGCATTACAAGGTCCACTAAATTGTTGACAATCGCCTACACCTCCCCCTGCCCTAAACTCAACCATAAAAGTAGCATGGGCTTTATTTTAGTGGGCGGTACTAGGTACACTACATAGTTGACAATCTCCTACACCTCTTCATACCCTACACCCAACCATCACAGTAGCATGGGCGTTACCTTATTGGGCGGTACAAGGTCTGCTACGTAGTTGAGGATCACCTACGTCATCAAGCTGCGGGCTGCAGTCAGTAAGTTAGTCGACGATGGCCTCTGGTAGATTTATGTGAGAACATCAGGCACAAATGGCACTCGTGAGAGAATTTTGAGGTCTGAAAAAAGAGCACACAGCGGCTTCTGGTAAATTCACAAAAATAAAAACTGCAAAAACGTAGCTCCTGGGATTTATTTGCCGCTCCCCAGTAATAGTAATAATAATATATATAAAGGTACATTTTCAGAATGAGCCTGGGTTGGAAATAATGGTCCATTATTATTAGTATCATGAACAAACAATTAGTAATATGTTTATTATGATATTTATTAATCTTTGATAACATTAGTTAATGTTATTTAAGTTATGTTAACTCATAGTGCATTAACTAATATTAACCAAGCACAACTTTATATTTTAATAATGCATTAGTTGATGTTGAACTATGATTAATAAATGCTTTACAAGATTATTCATACCTAATTAATGTTACTTAAGACATTAAGTAATGGACGATTATTCTAGTTTTATTGATATAACTTTAATAAATATTAGTACATATATTTTAAGAAATATATCAGTAAATATCTAATATTAACCAATGCTCTAGCAATATATACTATTGTTTTTGCAAACTAATATAGTTAGCCAACGTTAACTAAAATGTAACCTTATTGTAAAGTGATGATTCTTGCCTGCTGCTTAGACATCATCATAACCGAAAAAAGCAATGCATGTGAAGCACACGAACACTATTGGTATATCAATAATCTGTTTATTTCACTGACTGTTGGAGTTCTCCGTAATACAGAAGTCAGCATCATTTTTACTATCTAGTTTTAGGAATTGCCATCATGTAAGGAACGCTCCCATGATGCCTGTTTAGACAGCTCACTTGAGTACTAAAAGCTGTCCTGAAAGAGAGATTTACACAGCTGCACCTTACGCAATCCATAGTTCACGTGCGCTGTTCATGAGTTAATCTAGCTGCTGTATATATTCAGTTCTCTAATGTGTGTGATTATCATTTTTCACTTCTTTATCCTTTCTACTGTCTCCATTAGAGATGATCAGGCTAAATAGAGGAAGCTTTGAGTTGCTAAGAGGAACGAGGATTGTGGTTTTATAATGGAATCACACATTTTTTCTTGACACTTCCTGTGTCGAGAACATAGAGTCATTAATAATTTTTACATAAATAACACGATGTCTGCTTGCAGTCATTTCTCTTTATGTAGTAAGTTTTAAAGGCATAGGTGATCTCCTACATGGCATCTAAGGTATTGGTTTTATTCTTCAATAGAAAATTAAAGGATAGTTTCTCAAAAATGGTAATTCTGTCATTCTGTCACCATGTACTCCACTTGCTCCAAATGTCCGAGAGTGTCTTTCTTCTGCTGAACTCTAAAATATTGTTAACATACAGACAGTTGGTGATGAACTTTGCCAATTTTTTCCTTCTATGACTTAACCATTAATTACTAGTTGTTTACTATTTGTTTGTGTGCTCAATTGAAAAAAAGAAACGTTTGAAAGAAGTTTTGGAGGAAGTGGAGGGCGAGTAAGTGATGGCAGCAATTACGCCCGGATTGGCTAATCAGGAGGACCGGGAGAATTCCCGGTGGGCCGGTCCGTTTTTTGGCCACGAGGGCCAGTGTCCCTAGCTCCAGAATCTGTAGCTCTCAGCAGTCACACTTTTTAAATTAATTTATTTATTTACTAGACCACAGTCTTCTTATTCATTATTTTACCGCAGCTCTTTTTATCTCTGCACAATGTACAGCTGTTGTGGTCCAGTGGTTAGCACGTTAGGTTACGACGCCATCGACTCGGGTTTGATCCTCGTCTGAGTAACTTATTTTTTTCATTTTTATTGTTAAGACATATAATACTGTTAGGGTTGTTGAAGATTTGAAGTTCTAAAGCAGCTGTTTTCTCAAAAAAAGTCGTGATAGTGTAATTAGAAACTGAATTGGAAATGACCTTATTTTAATATAGTCAGTCGTGAACTGAGGTGGGCCGGTCGAGGCTTGAAACTCCAGGGCTGAAAAGGAGTCCCACTCCGGCCCTGGCAGCAATTAAATATTTGGTTGAAATATCCATTTAAAAGCAGAATTGTTGGTCTTTGATGCTGCATATCGTTAGGGCTGGGGGATATGGGCAAAATATCATATCCCGTATCCCGTACACATTAACAATCACCCCCCCCCTCCCTCACTCCCTACCTTTCTGATGTTCTGCTGCTAATGCACAAAGACACTTTATGGATATTCATGTTTGCACTCATTTGCCATAATGTAAATAATACTGTGACTATTACATTTAGTATATTTTTATTTTACATCTTATATTTTTAGTATTATGTCTATTGTTGGTTTTTATATATTTTAGTATTATGTCTTATATTTTAGTATTATGTCTATTGTTTGTTTTTCTCTCTTTTTATGTTGCTGCTGGTCTCTGTGAGTTACCAAACAAATTTCGTTGTACAACTACAATGACAATAAAAGTTCTTTACTCTTTACTTTACTTTTAGGAGGAATGACGGTATACAATATCCACACGGTATTTTCCCATAAATGGCTACTTGAGAGTTAAAGCCTTTATTAAAACTTTATTAAACATTTTTTTGAGCAAAATATAAATCAAACACAGGGGTTTCCCAAATATGTAAAAATCCTAAATCAAGAACAGACAAGAAAAATGGTATGGGAAAATTAAATGATGCTTAACTTCTGTTTGATATTATATCTTATTAAGATTGTTTTTCTTACCCCATTGGGAAATATTTTTTCTTGTTTTAAGCCAGTGGTCACCAAACTTGTTCCTGGAGGGCCGCTGTCCTGCAGATTTTAGCTCCAACCCTAATTAAACACACATGGACAAGCTAATCAAGCACTTACTTGGTATACTTGAAACATCCAGGCAGGTGTGTTGAGGCAAGTTTGAGCTAAAACCTGCAGGGACACCGGCCCTCCAGGACCGAGATTGGTGACCCCTGTTTTAAGCAAATAATCACTTAATTTTGAGATGCCTTTTTCATAAAACAAGACATAATTTCTTATGCTACTTCATGTATCTATATCTTTTTTAGATATTTGGATTGAAAACAGGACAAAACTACTCAGTTTTTTTATTGTTATTATTATTATAACAGCTCATGGATTAGCTTTTTTGAATAAAAGGTTGGAAATGAATGCTTTTCTTGTTTTGCTTTGTCTATTTTATTAATTGATCAATCAAAGAAATAATCAACAGATTAATCAATTATTAAAATAATCGTTAGTTGCAGCCCTAGTTTTATCTACAAAGTTGAACTCTAGCTTGGCTCTGTAGAGGAATTACCAACTTTCGTCACACATGACGTCACCCGGGTTCCCATTAGCAAAAAAAAATCCGGTTGCAATAGTAAACAAGTCTTGTTGTGTTGTAGGGTGCCAAATTCAAAAGTCCAAAAATAGAAAACGTAACTTTTACCGTACACCACACTGCTTTGAATGCCAACTGCAGATGTCTTTGGCTAAAAGGGAGCTGAATGGAGTGAGGACCTAATTAAAAATGCTCTTGAAACTGTTTGTTAACAGAAAAAAAGTTCAATAAAAAAAATAACGAACATTCTTGATCTGTTTCTTCCCTCTTTTTTATTCTTTTTATGTATTACAGAAGTATCAAAATCAAATGACTCGAAGTCAGACTCGAGGGCAAAAAAACCTGAACGGGACATCCCTACCGGGCATTTCTAGAGTTAAAAAAAAAAAGGCTGTTCATACATGATCTTTTTATGGTAATTTTCTGGTAAAGGGAAAGGGAAGTGTGTGTGAAAGGAGCTATTGAGATGTTTTTACGTCTGTTTCAGGTGTTCTGCAGGTAAATCTGCTGCAGGTGAGATTGACACCACAGATGTCTTCAGCTGTCAGTTTGAGAACATCCTGGAGTCGGAGCGTCTGCGAGGGACTCTCTACAGCAGCATGGACTCACTGGACGCCCTGTCAAACCCTGTGCCTGAACCCACTCCGCAAAGCACTCTAGAACCCTCGTTTGCCTTCGACATTCCTCTCACTCCTATGATTCAGCAGCGACTCAAAGACAGGAGTCTGTTCCTGGAACCAGCAGCACCTGACCTGAGCTCGGACACTGAGGTGTTGAGCGTCACGAGCACAAAGGAGCGCGGAAAAACAGCTCTGGAGGTCACCTCATCCTTTCTCTCAGCAGGATGTAAGGACTCCTGTGCAGCTCTAGCTAACGGATTAAACGAGAGAGACCCAAAAGACTGGCTGCAGGGCTGTTTGAGGTAAGACACTGTGGTTTACTTCATAAAAATGCTCAGAGAAAGTCTCTGCCTTCATGATAATTGCACTTACTTGATGCACATTTGCCGGAATTTTAAATGTGTAAAAATCTGCATTTTTAGCTTTGAGCATAGTTTGATTAAGGTTGTTTTGCTATTGAGCTTGTGAGAGGGAGAAAACATGGAGATCGGAGATGAAAATATGGCGCCCTCTGCTGAAATTCAATTGCACTTAAAAGAATAGTTCACCCACAAGTGAACATTCAGTCATCGTTTACTCACCCCTCACACATGACAAACCTGTTTGCATGTTTTTTTTCTTCTGTTGAACAATAAAGCAGTTATTTTGAAGAATGTTGGAGACCCTTAAGTACCGTAGTATTTTTCTAAATAATCTTGTTTTGTGTTTAACAAAAAGGGAAAGAGAAAAGGTTTGTTTTAGTGCTTTCAAATATCAACATACTTACTTCCAGGACAGTTTTTTTATATATCGAAGTTGATATTTAGCCACACCATGTTGGTGTTTTGTACCATTTCATTTCCATGAGGTGGGTCGTTAGCCCAACTCTCAACCCCCAACCTGGGATGCGTTTCCCAAACAATGACGTGACTCGCAGTTGGGAAAAGAACGATGTAGTGACGAGTGTTTCCCAAAACCTGTAGTTTCTCCATCGTTGAGCCACGTTAGTTATAACGTAAAACACCCATTATGATGCTCTAAACAGGGTGAAAAAACTACTTCTTTGTAAAGAAGCCCATCATTTATTTGTGCAAATTATTATGTTTTGCACGCACTCGCATAAAAAAATATTCAATATTAGTTTTGGTTAAAACATGCACTCGTTTTTCATATTAATTGAAATACATGGATATGGCACATATAGGGCCTATTTTTCCTTTACAGATACTATTGAAAACATTACACATTCAATTCTAAAACATAAAGCCACTTACAAAAGCTAACATATTCTAATCTTATATATAAATCATATAACTAAATAAATAAATAAATAATGAGGCTATTTGTTAAGAAATAAAATGTAATATTTATTATTTATTAGGTAAAGAAAAAAATTACGTTATTAATAATATTAAAAATAATGATGATGATGTTGATGATGATGATGATTATTATTATTATTACTAATTATAAGTAGTGTGTGTGTATATATATATATATAAATATATATATATATATATATATATATATATATATATATATATATATATATATATATATATATATATATATATATATATATATATATTTAATTTACTTATTTTTATGTTTACTTTTACAATTTGACACATGCAAACCACTGCAGAAATGCTAACCAACAGGCCCATGTCTCATACAATAGGCTAGATTTCTTAATAAATAATTTACTATAAAATAAAAACATTAGTGCATGCTATGTTTTTTTTTCACAAGCTTTAGAGCAATGACTGTAAATAAGATACCAGCTTTTGAGACGTAACGTAAATTCGGCTCGGCTGTGTTCAAATTGACTTGATGTTTTCAAAGTGCATCGCGAAGGGTGCGCAATTGTAAACATAAAGTTAGCTAAAACCGAACTGCAAAAATACTTTGAAACAAATTACACCTAATATAACTTTAATGCTTAAAAAAAAAAAAAATTTAAAAGCTTAAATTTTAGAATGTTTTAAATGAATAGGACATAGGGGGGATAACTGGGAATAGAACACAGCCAGGAAATATGTTTCTAACTACAGCTCCAAACAGCTCCTTTTTTCCGCCGAAACAGCTAAAGACTCGTTATCAAGACGATTCATTTGAAGCACTATGAGTCAACTCTTTTTTTAGATGAATCAATAGTTTTAAACACTGTGCACTTCATCCATTCATTCATTTTCTTGGCGGCCTAGTCCCTTTATTAATCTGGGGTCCAGTTACACCTGTCCGCCGGTTCCTGCCTCAAAATGAGCGAGTTTGAGCCACTTGTACATTCAGGAAGCGTTCAGAAAAAACAAAATACCAGGAAACTCGACACAGAGGAACATTAACACCTCACTGCCAACTAGCGTTTCGGAGGTGTTAATGCAGACCAACAGAGAAAGCGCGCAGAATTGTAAATGCAAAGCTACACATGTTGCATGTGCCGTGAATTACACTAGTCACTTGACGCAGAAGTATGAACCAGGCTTTACACACTACGTCATTTTCAAAAACCCATAATAGGGGCTCTTTAACATACATAGTGACCATTACTATATGCCTGAATAATAAGATATATGAATGTTAATTTGAATAGTTTATTAGTTGTTCACTAACTCATTCTGAATGATTCTAAAAAACCATAAACTACTTTTAAATACAAACGGTTTGTAAATAATCCAGTACTTATAAAGGTAATAAAGTATGAAAATACAATGTTTAAGCACATTACATTTACATTTAGTCATTTAGCAGATGCTTTTATCCAAAGCGACTTACAAATGAGGACAAGGAAGCAACTTACACAACTATAAGAGCAACAATGAATAAGTGCTACAGGCAAGTTTCAGGTCTGTAAAGTCTAAGAAGGAAAGTATTAGTAAATGTATATATTTTTTGGGTACAGTTAGTGTGATATCCAGAGAGGCAATTGCAGATTAGGAAGTGTAGTGGAGACTAAATAGTTGAGTTTTTAGTCGTTTTTTTGAAAATAGCGAGTGACCCTGCTGTTCTGATGCAGTTAGGGAGTTCATTCCACCAACTGGGCATTATGAATGTGTTTATAAGTTAAGATTCCAACGTTTATGAACGCTGTATTCATAAACTACTTACTGACATCTAATAATGTAGAGATATGGAATTCACACTTTGCCAATGCTCAATAGATGATTCATAGTGTGTAGTTATTATAAAGTGTTACCATCTTTTTTGCTGATATGCTGTTCACCGCTGTGAGAATGCAAAATTGCAGTGTGGAGAGAAAAACTGATGTCAGAATGACTCAAGTCAGAGTGTCGAGACACATTGTTTTTAGAGAAGAACATTCAAATAAACAGTGATGTCACTGCGTTAGACACAGTATGCTCTGTTTGCTTCTATTTGTGGATTAAGATCGAATCAGATACGGTTGTGATTCCTGTAAATAAGCAAACTGTGTGCGCAAAGAACAAGATTAAGCACTCTGAGCAATGTGACCGAGATCAGCTGAGTTTAAAGCGCAGAGAATCCAGGCAGCTCATGTGTTTTATGGAGCAAATGCAGCTTACCAAGCCTGCAGATTTCTGTTCAACCTCTCGTGTGCATAATTTGAGCAATCGGTGCGTATAACATCATCTGTAGCAGCCACAGAAACAACAATAGTGATGAGTAAACATGCGTCTCACCCATCAGAAATCATGCTACGCTTCCTCCTGATCATCAGCACCATCAGCCCCGCTATTTATAGCTCAAACCGCAGGCTGCAGCCTCGTGCCCTAGAGCATGATGGATGTAAATAAAGCACATCGCTCTATTGCTCCATTCACAAACACGCGCGCACACACCCATGCGTGCGTTCGGCCCACCCCCTCCATCCGTCCTCCCGGCCGACCCGCAGATGGAGTGAGGCGCCGGCTGTAGTGATGAGACTCGCTAACATAATGAACAAGCACAAACAGAGCGGCGCGTCCTAGCAGCCCGCAGGAAAGCGCACACACACACACACCGTCTCCATGTAGGTCAGAGCGAAGCATCTGGCCGGACGCTAGGACACATCAGGAGTTGGTCCACGCGCACCGGCAGCAGCTCTCATGGGCTCCGTAGTGTCTGGCTGCTTCTCCCAGCCGGGCCTGTCCGATGGCGAGCGCCAATCCGTCCAGTAAGTCTTGACCTTCGGCATGCATGACACGCTTCTCCTACGATGTGAGGATTCCGGGTAGCTGCTGCTAATGTGTTTGGGAGACTGCAGTGACGTTTCAGCAGCAGCGCTTGTGAATGTCCTCTACTGCTGAAAGGTCTTTGTGTAATTCTCCCCTCCCTCTTGACTCCAGTAGGCTGATCTCGAAGCTCATCATAAGTCATGATAAATTATTAACTGTAAACAGAGATGACATAAAGTTGGATGTATCCTAATCTCGAGATTGTTGATGTATATTTATTTGTATAAACCTTTAGCGACGCCTGTCTGACTTTGAGAAGTAATGAACTGTTGTGCCTTGAGAGCAAAGGCTGGTTATTGAATTATTTATCGAAGGGACTTCGGTAAACTTTATTTACGACAAAAAAGCCAACAACAATTAAGATATTTAAAGGGAGCAAAACTACTCACTAGCTAGACCTCTACTAACTGAATTAGAAAAAATAATGTTTCATCAGAATCCTATGACAAATTATATTCCCTTGCTTTGTAGCAGTGAGGCAGTGGCGCAGTAGGTAGTGCTGTCGCCTCACAGCAAGATGGTCACTGGGTCGCTGGTTCGAACCTCGGCTCAGTTGGTGTTTCTGTGTGGAGTTTGCATGTTCTAGCTGCCTTCGCGTGGGTTTCCTCCGGGTGCTCTGGTTTCCCCCACAGTCCAAAGACATGTGGTACAGGTGAATTGGGTAGGCTAAAATTGTCCGTAGTGTATGAGTGTGTGTGTGGATATTTCTTAAAGATGGAGGGGCATCCGCTGCGTAAAAACTTGCTGGAAAAGTTGTGGGTTCATTCCGCTGTGGCGACCCTGGAATAATAAAGGGACTAAGCCGACAAGAAAATGAATGAATGAATGTTTTATAGCAAATTAGTCAATGGGTCTAAAGAAACATCAGAATTTAAGAAAGATTCTTGGTGTACAGATTTACAATATGACCTGACAGATAGGGCTGTGCAATTAATTGAAAATCCGATTTTGATTTTGGCTTCAAACGATTATGGAAAAGCATTAATCGAGATAAGCGATTATTGCATCATATACCGCCCACTTTCCAGCTGTACACATTTGTTGCTCTTAAAAGCGTGAAAGACCGCGTGCTTATGTGTGTGTGCGGCCCGCACACGAAGTCAGAAGCATGCGGCCAGTCAGCATTCGGT